CTCTTCTCTGCTGCCCCCTGAGCACCCAGTGTCCGCAGGGCCATCAGAGGTGGGCAGGCAGGAGCCTACCAGCACTTCACTTGGAAGATAAAGCAGACAAACAAGACTGGAAAAAAAGCCTGTGCTTATAGCCCCTGGAACAACCGTCATGAGATTTGGCCTCCTCAAAGCAGCACTGGGCAAGGGTGACTTTCCCATTTCTTATTTGGGAGTGCAGCTTACAGTCACGATTGTTCCATCTGACCGAGCAGCCAGCACTGCTTCCAAGCTGTTATTAAAAAAAAAATAAATATACTCCTAGCTCAGAAACCTGTGTTTTAAATCCAACTCACAGCAGCATTTGCTCAGTGTGAAAGGCACCTGAGGAACCTGCACACGAACTGCAAATCACAGTGTATTTTAACAAATCACACAGTATTTTAACAGCAACCTACAGCACGACATGAATTCATCACTAAGTCGTGCACAGATGTCTGTTCCAGTACAACCATCCCTTTGTATTTAGGTGCTCATTACTCCACAGCCAGTGCCATGGCTCTCACACCTCTGAGCAGCAGGAGGGGAGTAGGTGGCATTTGCCTCACTCCTGCTGCAAAGTTTTATTCCATCCCCTGCGAGCCCGAGCTGGAGACCCACAAGAGGGCGGTCGGGGTTGTGTTTTCCCTTTGACTACATCGTTTTCCACCTTAGCATTCTGGGGAGGCTCACCACAAAGTCACTTTTCATCTTCTGTGGCCACTTACAGCTACTTTCTGATGAGAACATAATTCGTGTCATCATATGCCACAATACACACAGATAACAGAAAATGTTTACTGCAGATGAAGCAGGTATTTGTTAATCATAGTCCCTGGGATGTTTGTGGTACCAGGGCAGCCTGGTTTAGAGCTGCATCAGCCAGCAGGCCCCCAGATCACGTGGCTGATGTTTGTAGGATGAAGGTGTTCACAAAGTTTATGCTGGGCTTTTAAAGACTGAAGCTGCTTCTCCTATTTTTTTAATTCATAAAATTCAAAGAAATCATATTACAAATAGATACAAAATATTAGACAAAATTAAATCTCTCCATCTGAGCTCAGGAGAAATGTTACACCATTACTGGTGTTGAACTCAGCTTTAAGACCACAGACACCTCCACAAGTTTCACTCAGACCTAGATGCTATCATTATACTGTCATTAATATTCTATAGTTGTGCCTTGGACAGCTCTTGAAATTTACTTACCTCCTGTTTCCGCCTCCCTCGCTTTTTTTTACCCCTCCAAAACAAGGGCCACGCAGTGCTGCTTCTCCCTTCTCTGCACAGCACAGCCTGCAGGTACAGAACCTTTCCATGTGTTCTCATCTCCAGTTCCTCCAGCCACCCCATCTCTGCTCTCCCCCCTGCCTGTTCACCTTCTCTTGTCTCCTCTTTACCTCCTCACCCTCTTGTGCATCTCTCCCCAAAACCCTTACGCCCCTCTTGCCTCTCCCAGCATGGTGCCATCTCCCCTGACTTCCAAATACTCTGCACTTTCACCGTCTGGAGTTCTTTTCCCCTAAATCCACTCAAGATCCTTTCCAATTTGGATTTGTTTTGTGCTCTAGATACCTTTTACAAGCGGTCAAAGCAGAAAGCTTTATTTCTGGAAAGGCCAGTCTATGTCAGCCATTCAGAAGCAACCAAAAGGCAGCAAAAAAAAAAAGGTTTCTCCTCTGCATTTGACCCTACAGAGGTCACAATTGCAAAATCCTTTTGGCAACACTGTCATACCAAGAAGCATCAGAAAACGGCAGCCAAAGAGCCCCAGCCCTTTGCTTACCCAGGAACTCACCGGGCTGCCCAAGGCAGGAGGTACCCACCGCAGTCCTGCCGCGGAGGGGACATAAGTAAAACCTCCCTGCTTCAGCCGTGGGGACAGTGGAGCCTCTGCCATGTAGAGAGAGACGTTTCTGCGGCTCCCCCCGCTGCAGCGAGCCCCCTGCCCTGCCCGGTGGGCACCCACTAGGGGAAAGCAGCTCCTGCCGTTGCTCCCCTGCAGCGCCCAGGTCTCCCGGCTCAAGAGTGCGCGTCCTTTGGGAGACACCCCTGCCCCGAGGAGCCCTGGGGAAGCAGAGCAGACATTAACTTCGTGGCAGCAGCAAAGTGACTCCTTACAAAGGCGACTGCTTTTGCTGGCGACGCACGAGTACCCTGTTCCCGGGGTTTGGCCCCAAAGCCTCTTTCTACCCAGGAAGCTCCCCTTTCTCCAGCTCTCCTTCCAACCACTTCCTCTGCTTGTGTTACTTCTCCAGCAGCCCTGTACGAGGACTTTCCTTACATAGATCGTGCCTCCCCACAGAGCTCTAGGAGCAAATACAAGACAGAGGCACCAGGGATGTGCAGAGCGGTGGAAACATGAATAAGAGCCCTGCCTTGACATGGCACGGCAAGCACGGGGAATTAAAGACAACTTCCTTTCCTGTAACCCTTAAGGGACGTTAGAAAGTGTTTCTCTCTAACTAAAGTGCACAAAACCATTCTGGTAGCAGGGAGAGTCACACAGCGAAATAGGGTCTCTCCTCGGCTGCAGTGCTCACAGCCCAGCCGGCTGCTCTGGCACCTCGGCCTCGGTCTGCTGGCTCTGCCAAGTGTTTGGCCACAGCCATCGCTTTCCCCTGGCTCACCCGCGCGAGACCAGCTCCTTGGTGTGGGCTTGAGCTCCAAGACGTGCTCTGTGCTTGCCAAGGTGGTCCCTGCACACAGGTGCTAGGCTAACTCTGCTTTGGCAGACATGCCAGATACTGAAATAGTACATTTTAAAAAAGAAAAATAAAGAGTTCACAAATATACTTTCCATTTCAGCTGGCTCCCTCACCCTAGTTCCATTTCGGGAGCAGACAACAGTAGCAACTAAAATGTACTGACAAGTCAAGGTCCTGCTGGTAATGGGAAGGTCAGGGAGAGCATGAGCAGTGATAATCCACCCAGCGAAGCTTCCTGGGACAGAAGTGACTGCTCCATCAGCAAACCAGATAATCCATGTAGGAAAACTCTTTTTCACATACAAGCATTTTGTCGCGATTAGGTTAAAATGGCCTACCTACCTGCTATTATTCTCAAGGCCTTCCACCAATTTTTGATGGTTACTGGATGACTGAAGGAAGCTCATAGAGGCAAAGAATGAGTTACAGAAGTTAAATCTGCACTGTAACTGGAAAAACGCATCCTTCACAAGTGTGCATCTGTCATGTGGACTCTATTAACCACACAGAAACAGGCATTAACTAGACAATTTCCCCTTAAAAAGTTAAAAAGAGGAGGAACCTTCACTGTTTGCTAAGATACACAAGCACACAGACCATGTGCAATGCTTTTCTGGGAACAGAAGTAAAAGAAATAAGTTTATTGCAAGTTATCCTTAACTCACCTTTCACCCAGTTTTTGTCAAATGACACAAACCCTTTTCAAATGCTTCTTCTCTTACCTAGATGAAGACACACATGAAATTCAGACAGTGGTTCTGTTTGGGCAAAAACAAAGCAGGGATCAAAGCTGGCTTGCAACAAGCATCTAATTTTGGCCCCAGCACTATGTTCTTCACCTAAAAGGCCGATCAGCTAGTTGTGCACAACTTGCTGCTCAAATTTTAGACCCAAGTTTGGAGGCCATTTGAGAGCTAAGGTGGACAAGAACTGATTTCAAGAAATCGAATGGCAGTTGTCAGAACTGGGAAGACAGCATTTTTACAAAAAACAACGTAACAAAAATATCAAAGAGCAATTTTATTTAGCTTATTTGGCACAAAACTTACAAGAACCATTTTGTTCCCTTCTTAAATTTAGTACAACTAGCAAGGAAAAAAGGCATACTAATACATTTAATGAGCTGTACAGCAAGTGAAATGTGGAAAGAGGCACCAGAAAGATCTACCGAAAATCAAAGTGCATGAAAAATACCTACTCTGAGCGCCTCACGGTATTGTATTAAGGCACCACTCCTTTAGAAGGTTTACTGAATACATCAAGTGTGCAACTTCTCGGTTTGGAATGTAAGAGTCCTTCAGCCTGTATCAGAACTGGGTCCTGCAGCCTCTGAACAGAACAATGCTCCTCCTTGTAAATTTTAAGCAGAAAGACCTCTCTCTGCTCAACATCATCTCTCAGCCAGGAGTGCCACTGTCATACGCTTTGAAGAAGCCAACACAGGTTATCAGAGTAACCAGCATTTTACTTCAGAGTTTTAAGCTGTAGTATACATCAGGCCTACAAATGCTTTACAATGGTTTTATGGAAAAGAAATGCTGCAGAGACAAAAGTAACATGGGACATAACAGTAAGTATGTTTAGATAATTCACCAAAAGAACATTTAAGGACTTCCTGGAGTATCTTCAAAAAAAAAAAACCAACCGCAAAACAAACAAAACCCCTCAAGATCCAAGTAGTGTTATAATCCAGAATAATTAAAGACACTTTTCAACAGAATATTACAAAGCTTCCTTTAGGACTAGCAATCAAGTCTGACAAATTCCACAAGACTTCAGGAACTTTAAGTAAGTACGTAGAAAAAAGTAAATGTTTTTCGTAATTGGAAACATTTAATGCAAGTACCTGTAACTGCAAATCATGTTATACTGGGGTGTGTGTATATACACACACACGCTCCCCGAAACATCATTACAAGAGCCAAACAGACACCTTGGTTCACTGTGGATTTTGCACAGCCCTGGAGTATGACAGAAGTTGCACCAGGTTTTCTGTTTCAGCATCTTCATTAAGAACTACTATTCTTTTAAGAACCAAACTGCTTCAGTTACAAGAAGAGGTACCACAGGCCAGACTCACATCTAGTGTCAACAGGATCCAAACAACCAAACAGAAGTTGCATCCGCTCCTCACCAGCTTTGACTTTGGTTTCGCTGCTCAGCTGGATCACCAGTCTCCTTTACTTGCAGGAAGAAGTTTGGCAAGAAATCAATGCCCATATCAAAACGTAGGTGGGAACCAGTAAATGCAGAATATTGTACCAAACCATTGTACAACACCTCTACTGTAGAGAGTTTCAAACATCTCAGGAGCTTGAGACTGCTAAACCCGAACTCTGGAAAAGCACATTTCTCTATGGACATGCAAAGGCATTTAAATATGAACCCTAGGCGTCACAACATCTCATTTTTGTCCTCTTGTGGTGTAGTCCTCGAGAGCACAACTGCGTGTCCCATTACAGAACCAAAGCACCCTTGAGCATTAAAAATTCTGAACAGCAAGGGCTGAAAAGCAGCGCATCTGGAGGTGATCTACACGTTACAGAGCACGGTGTTCCACAAGCCTCACAACAGTTCAGTCCATACTTTCTGGGATAACTTTCCCTATACCTTTGCCCCAATACAGAGCCATAGTTTTCAGTAACTCTTTTACCCCTGAATTATTTGCTACCACATATAAAACACGCCACAGAAGTGGCAGTCAGGGCTAAACATTTAATAACGTGTCCTTTTTGTCCTTTATTAACAATTACAATCAGCAGAAAGAAAAACTATTCACTCATTTATTTCATGATTTGTAAGTCATGTAGCAACTTAACATTGGTGTTATACATTTGTGCTTCCGTTCTCTGGCACTTGGAGGAGGAATTCATTTCCAGATAATCACATCTTGCTGAAGCATTCCTTTGCATTTGTCCAAACTTGAATTCCCTTAAAAAAAAAAAAAAAAAAAGGAGTTAAAACCCAAGATGGAAATACACTTTGTTTGCAAACCTCACCAACAGACCTTCTACCACAGAAGACTCTACAAAGAGGTCCCACAGAACTTCACACAAGAATAAGGCAGAGACCACACTGGAATCAGACCACACTGCCTATTACACATATATTATCAACATTAACATGTCACCAAGATTAGGTGGGAGGTTTTACGCTAGTGACTTCCAACCTTCTGTGACTGCAACATCCCTAGTTATTGAAGTTTGCATCTGATCCCCCGCCGATACGATACATAATACACTAGCCTGGCCTTTCACAAGCTGAACGTACCTTTTTGCACATGCTAATCTGCATAACAGCATAGCTTATAAGTGCCTCCTTCAAATCGTGGTTCTTTTGCTCTTTAAACCGTTCAATGTCAGCCCAGGCATTTTTCACAAAGTCTCTGGAATTAAAAGCATTATTTCTGTTAGTAAGTCTTTTACATGTTCCATCCCCAGCTCATCTTCCTTCCTCTGGACCCTCGGCAGAGAAGCTACGTATGACAAAGCAGTCCATCTTTCAGCCAGTAAACCAAGTCCTGTAATGACTGTGCATCCTGCCCTGTCACCATTTGATAATTGGCACTACTACCCAATTCTCCTTCTTAAGGTTTTTGAACTGGAGAATCAGTCTCCCAGGATGCGTTGGATTGTTTGGGGTTTTCCCCCCAGTGAACATTACTGCCATAGAACCAGCATAATTCAGAATACACTTTTTTCCCCTCAGGTTCTGTTGGGATAACTACGTATCGTTACACTAACATTCAGCAGACAACATTGCACGTTACTTTTTCAATTGTCAAGTCAGAATGTTTGTCCTTCCGATGTGAAAACTCACTTGTCATCAGGATTTGAGACACTCAAGTGCAACAAACATTTACAATGCAAGTTTGACTTGGACAATTCACTTCAGGAATTAATTTTGTTGTTTTGGTGATGTGTCTTCAGGTCTCCTGAACTAAAACGGAGGAGATTTCTGTAATTTTTAGCTTTCATTTGTGCTGGACTATACATACAAGACAAGTATTCACTTGAAAATTGCTTCCAGAGCTACGCAAGCACATCTCCGGTACTTCTGTCAAAATGATTAAGGAATGGCATTTATTGAGTGTCTTGTTGTTCTGAACTATTCATGAACTAGTCTTATCTTTCCAGCTCTAATCCTAACATATTAGGAGATACCACATTTGCCCCTTGTGTCATACGATGAACGTGTTCTGACACAACCACACTGCTTTAGGAACGTTAGTTCCCATTTTTCATGCTCACATTCCTGGAGAAAGTTTCATTAGAGCACCGAGCAGCAGTTACTCAAACAACTCGCCAGAACTTCTAATCTCTTTCAAACAGGAGCCTGTTGTCCCCCATATGAGAAGCTGCAGAACATGAGCTCAGGACCCATACACGTAAACCAAACTAAATACCGTATTCGAAGCAAATCAGCTTTTGAGTGTTAGGCTATTCAGCTGCAGACCTACAAGCCCACCTGCTAAACCTATCAGAAGCTGAACATAAAGGCATGCAAGTCAGCCATTAGAGTGGGCTCAGTAACTGGGAAAGTCATCAGGTTTTACATAAGCCATACGCTCAGACCAGAAGCTAACTGCATGTACTGTACTTTATTTCACAACCTGCAGCTGACAGGAGCTTTTATAGACAGCTCATAAACACCAAGAATATATTAAAAACACTTCTAAAACGCAAACACCTTCAAGCGCATCCAGTCAAGGCCTTTTGCTAAGACAAGCCCCGTGTTTTCTTTGAAAAAGTCAGGCCCGTTTACCTGCCCTCCAGATTTTTAGACTTAAGTTGTTCTTCTCCTTCCTGTATCTGCTCTTCTAGAACCTTTATCTTGGCTTCCCTCTGCTCAGGCGTTTCCTGCCCAAAGAGCTTGCTGGTCATCCCCTTCAGGGAGAACGTTCTCACAGTCTAGAAAAAACAAAGACACTCTAGGTTCGGGATTCCTGAGCACAGCCACAAGACATTATGGGATCTTCAACAGCATTTGGGCTTATTCTTATCATTCAGGCTGATTTTTTGCTTTAACTTCCATTTCATGAACAAAGTGTTCATGAATTGATAGGCAGCTATGGGAGGTGTAGCGGCTCACCCTAGATCAAGCAAAGTGGGGAGGAAGTAATTTGATGTTCAAACTCTTTAAGGCTGGTCTGTGGATTGGACCATAAGTGAGTCATTCTACTGATACACACAACCTTTCAGAGCAGTTTTCCTGCTGGAGCAGGAAAGAAACTAAGTCTTGTGTTCTGTATGAGAAAGAAAATCCATAAAGTAGTTCTGTACAGAACATCAATAGAACAAACAGCATCATTAAGAATTCTAAACACGTTTTTTTAAGTTATCACTTTCAGATAATGTTTTAAGTAACATTACCTTCCACATAAAAGGGGCTAATACCACATATCAGTAACACCCACCTTTCGAAAGGCAGAGGAAGCCTTTCAGAATTCTCAACGTCTCAATCTTTAGGATAGACTTGTTTGTGTTATTCTGCTCCAGTCATATTTCGTGCAACCCTGTACTTGCTCAGTATTCAATAAACCAACTTTGGTACAAACATCTTATGTCACCAAGAACCAAGTTACTTTGAAGCTCAGATGCCTACAGCTCATATGATACTGCTTCTCATAAGCAGCAGCCAGCATGTTAGTGCCATTTAAATGTCATTCTGAGTAACTTGGCTCAAATAAAAAATAAATTTAAAAGAAAAGAGGCATCTTGGAGAAGAAAGTGGAAAAAGACTCACTCCTGTAGCCAGCTCCTCACACTGCTGTTTCTTAGATGTTAGGTCCTGTGCAGCCATTTCCAAGTCATATTGCATTAGTTCGTGTTTCCTGCAAACGGCCCTGAAAAGTAAGTAATGAAAGATCTGTCACGTAATACTTTGTTTTGCTACGTTTCCCTTCATTTAAACTTTACAAATGGCATCAGGCTTTTTTTTTTTTGGCAGGCAGCACATTCAGTTATTTATCTAGCTCAAATTCAACAGCCTTATCACAGAATGCATAACTCTGCAAATGTGGTAGTTAAGCAAGCTTGGATCAAAGCATAAAGGAAGTTCTTAGTACAGCAGCACTCTGCTCCGCTTTTCAGACTCATTCCAAGACACTCTCAGCAATACAAGCCCTACCACCTACTTAAGGACACCACTGTAAAATAGTTTTATTCAAAATATACTACAGAAAAATCACAACTATGACAAAAGGTACCTGGAGATGGTACCTGCCACAGCAGCAATGTATCAATCAATCATAAAATTCTTCACATTTATTTTTAAAGAATAAAACAAGAAACTGTGCTTCTAGTTTCATACAGCGCCTTTCATCTGGAAAAGAGGAGAGTTTCCTCTGGCCACCTGCAGTAAGTCCCAGTCCTGTGTGGGCTGATGATGCTACATCCGTACTCCGCTGCCGGATGCACATTCGTCTCCCAGGAGAGGCTACCAGTGCTCTGGGTTCCCACACAGCAGCTGTTACACCCGCTGACCCGGTTCTCCTGGACCTCTCCGACAGGTTCAGAGCCAGCCCGGGGAAACACACAACAGCTTCAGGCACAATCTTACAGCATAAAGCACCTTGCTTTTGTATCCACATTTGTAAGGGAGGACTGTCCTATGAAGGCTAATGTAAAAAAAATTAAAATCAGTATTTAGCTGCACAATACTGTACAGCAGATCAAGGTTATACAGGGCACTTTGAAACTTGCTGGAATTCGTAATGGCTGTAGCAGCTTTGCTTGGCCTATCTCATTTGAAAGCTGAAGCTTTCAGCACATTGGGGCACTATTACACCAGAAGCCAAGGGAACAGCGTAACCAGAATAAACAGCATCACCTTCCACAGGATACCAGTTTTAACATTTCTGTCATTTCACTATTGATCAGCTCAGTTCCAGTTTGTATCGCCACCCACATGGCAATCAAATACGAATAAGCAAAATAGGAGATGAGAACATGGAGATTGCACAACACTGAAATTTCTACTTCTCGGACAACAGAAGAGGATGGCAAACTAAATTCAACATCAACACGACATTAGAGGAAAGGACTGCAGCTTGCATTTGAGCTATTCACTTCTGTACATACCGTAGTGCTTCTGCATAGAAGAGGTATTCTTTCAGCTGATCTGCATAATGTTCCTCCTCTTCCAGTATGTCATCAATAGAAGCTGCGTATCTGGTGAAAAGCAGCCATGGTTAAGTATAAAGTTCCTTAACCTAACCTTTAAGGACTACATATACAGTAACAAGGGAGGAAACCTGTGACAGAAACACCAGTCAAAGTAAAACAATGAAAGGCGCTTCAAAAAAGGGGGTCTACTTTGTTCTTAATTAAACTCTGAATCGGCCAATATAAACATTCCTGCAGGCCTGTCTCTTTGGTTGTTACTACAATGAATCTTTTGACAAGTACAAGATCTATCATAAGTTTCCTGCAGCAGTTTTTCTTCTAGGAAAGAAAAACAATTTATTCCTTTTCTTCAGTGAACTGTCAATAGGCAGCACCAAGGTGAAAGAGACATGGTGCAGAAGAAATCCTGCAAGGCTTAAAGCGTTAAGGCACAGGAATGGGAACAGTCATACCTTCTGAAAAGCAAAGAGGCTGCCTTCATTGTTCGTTATTCAGCCGAGGACGAAAGAACTCACAGTGGTGCTCTGAACACCACACTAAGTCCTTCAGCTCCCTGATAAAGGAGCTGAAGGAAAGTCTGTTGCCTTGTCTGCTGTGTAAGCCAGGCGTATCAATGCAGGGCAACAAGAAGTTTAAACCCTCCTTTTCAGGAGAAATCTGAAGTACAAGGGCTTGGACCAACTCTGCAGCTCTTGCATTCAGTAAGAGTTCTGTCATTTAGGCTGATATTTCCTAAAAATGGCAAAAAGCACTCTCTTTTTCTAGTTTATATTGCTTATTGAATATTTAAATGAAACATTTAATTTTTTAACTAAAAAGACACTATTTAATAAGTTCTCGCTAGCCAAGATGACTGTGCTTGGACACATTTGCAGGGTCAGGCCTACAGCTGAGAGGTAACTGCACACCTCACTCGGCACAGTGGCAGAAATAGGATGCCACTTCAGCCCACAATACAGGGCACATGCCACTGGAAATAAACAGAATGAATGAGCTCCCATCACGAATGCTTTCATCAGTTCTGCTAACTCAGTCTGGATTCTCAAGTATGTGGCAATCCCTTGCACAGCTGCAGGCTCTGAAGCTCGCCTAGTGACCAGCACAATGTGACCCAAATGTTAATCACAGCACCTCTTGGCTTTCACGTTTTTGCAAGCTCTGAGATTTTCCCCTCTCTCCCTGTGCCTCTCCAGTAACTGGCTCTATGGAAGAAATGGCAATCTCTCAAGCTGAAAGGGTACTGGTAACATGACTTTGGAGAGAACAAGAAATCCGTCCTGCCAGCTTCAAAAGAAACAACTAGGTCATTTAGACCCTGGGAATCCAAGGGAGGTATCTGACTCCCGCTGAAAGTTATCATCCTCAGGCCTGCTCAGTCAGGCATGCGAATTAAGGCTCCTCAAAGAGGGAGCAGCTACTTGCAGAACAACTGGAAGAATGGGAAGACTAAGGAAGAGCTGTAGACATGCCCATCTGTTCATGAATTTTACAAGTTCGCAAGCACAATGAGTTGTTTTGATGCTCTGCGAAATCAAAGACACGGCACATCCAGAAAAAGCCCAACCAAGGGTATTGGTGATAAATAAGCTTAATATTCGAAGTGACCAGCAACAGCAGATCAGTTTAAGTAGAAGGGATAAAAGAACGGGCAGAACAAGAGTTCACATTATGAATCAAAGTAAGGAAGAAGTCCAAACTGTTGAAAGATACACTTGTTCTGAAAAAATCCTGCAGCCACCCAGGATCACAAGTAGCTTACCCTGTCTATTTTTAAGTTCTGAAGTGCAATAATTTTAGTATAGTGGTTAGATTACTCAGGGCAGCAGATGAACCACATTTCAGCTTTGAGTAAGTTCTAAGTTTTGAGCAGTGCTAGAGCTCATCTGTGGCAGAACAACTCTCAAAAAAAACCACCCCACACCAAACTCAAAAACCCCAAAAAACCCCTACCTTACCTAGACAGGGTTTTCAAAATTACACTTAAGTATTATTTGACATAAAAAAAAGGAGTAAGACAAGCTGTATTTCTGACTGCCTAAGCTCAAGTTTAAATACTAGCTTGTCCTAAGCAGGCAGGCAAACCAGGGAAAATCTTAAGAAGAAACACTGCCCTAAGTTCTAAAGGTACGTAACATGTTCCCACTCTGTGTGAAACGGCAGCTAAACCCCTGTTTCAGTTTGACTGGTTCCACCTGTAATGACAGTCTAGTTGATTCAGAGATAAAGGGTCACTCATTAATAGCATAAAGGACAGAAGTCAGAGGTCTGGCACTTTTTTCTTTCAGCTTTTCAATGCTAGAATTACAGCCAGTCACTTGAGCTTTCTCAGCATACTCTGCTGTTTTCTATCACTTTAGCAGGCCTCATCCTGTGATGCAGCACACACCTAGAGACGCATTGGGATGTCTTCTCCAAATATTAAGCAGTTTTAGATCATACTAAAACAGTAACAACTCAAAAGTTTAAATAAACATCTAGTAAACGCTACAGCATATAAGGTAGATGGAGAATAATTAAATTAGTCTTGAAGTTTAACATCTATATTAGGCAACCTTCTTGAAGTAGCTTTCTGTTGCAACAAACTCCTGCCTGATGTTATGGGAATGGTAACTGGACTGGTAAATTATACTTTCAAGAGATCATAGATATGAACCTTACTGGTAGGAGACCACATGGGTCACTGAATGAGTTCCTGAATCTCACAGCTGCTGCTTCGTGCTTTCGACTGCCACCAAGAGATTATTGTTGCATGAGAGTGCCAGAGCTGAAGAGATGACAGACAATGAAAGCTACCTCAGACTTCACGCAGTGATTAGTTACCCAGAAACTCACTGTCATTCCTCTGGATCTTTAACCCTAACTGTGTTACAGACACAAATATTAAACATCTCAGATGTGCGGAGTGGATTCAGCCTCCTGACTGAGAAGATGCTTCTTTTAGTTGGTTATGCATTTCTAAGTGTTTGACACAACACTAAGATGCAGCTGAACCACTGAAAACCTGCTTCTGCCTCCTTAACTCCTCTATATTATACCCTGTTTTCACAATCTCTTCAATTTCTGCATGCTGCTTAACACTGTATTCCACCTCTACTTCAATTATTTTCTTCTGAAAGCAGAACACATTCTCCACTTTATTCTCACCAGAGCCCTCTGCCTAAAAAAATATTATAGCTTTTTTGGGGTGCAAACCACCATGTTCGCCAAAACACAGCAGTGTGAATACATTATTCAGAGGTGTTCAAATTCTTAAAGAGCTGATAAAAACAGAACTATTCTGAAGAAGCTGAGGGCAGTTTGGTATGGCTCTTCAAACCCTCTTCCAACTTGGCATGGCATAACACCAACAACCACCAGGCAGTAGTGCACATGTAAATCAGCACTGCAAACTGAAACTGATAACTTCACTTCCACACGAATTACACTTTATCAGTAAAAACATTGTATGAAGCAGCATCAAACAGATTCCAGCTCTTGCTGGAGTTGTTACTTATCTGTACTGTGCAATTATAGAAGAGGAATCAGACTGATGAGAAATTGTACCGCTTCACTTACTATAGATGACCACCTGAAAAGCAGAAAGCATGAGCCTAGAATACCACTTCTGTGAGCCCTCTGAAGTGATGGACTCTTATTTTGAAGGCTGTGCTTCGTGTACTCTGCCAACTGACTCTAAAGATGCAAAGAGGGAGGATTCTCTACTTTATTACATCCAGTCAGTATTTGTTTCAAGAATCCATTGGAGTTTTGGTGTCGATTAATTAAATTTCTTAACTCTATAATTAAGTCCAAATCTGTGTACCATCTACTGCATGGTACAAAACGCTGCTATCAAAAGCAAACTGATCTCATCAGGTCTGCAGTACATTAAAGTTGTATTCCACCAGTTTCTGGCATAGTAGCTTAAAAGAAAAACTGGAAGAAATCCAAATACTTCTACAATTTCAAAATAATAATAAAAAAAAGAAACCCCTCTGGTTCTCCTGAGACCCTTCGAGCTACTTAATACAGTACATGGATGCTAAAGTTGTGCCTGCATCCAAGTCACAGAAACACTGTAAAACAACACACCCCCAACTTCCTCGGTACTCTACTTATACATACTTTGGGGTTGAGGGAAAAGAGAGGAAAGAGGGAGAGTTCTACATCTGGCTTACATCAAACTATCAGATATTCAGTCAGTACTCACACATCCATGTGGTGGCCAGCACTCTGCAACCCATCCCCCATCTCCTTTTCTATTGCACTCCACTCACTGTAGGAAAAACAAACGAGAAACAACATCACACGTGAAGGGTAAGGGAAGTTAATAAGCTGCATCCTGTATATAGTTTCTTTCCAGGTGACACCTGAATGGAAACTGCCTCAAAGTTAGACTTGGCCAAACCGTTTTCTTCCTCTAAGGAGCAACGCTGACAACGTGGCAAGGCTATTTACAGCACTCTGTTAAACAACTGTCCCTGACACCTAAACTCATCCTCACAAATACACTTAGTCTGGGATTGCTTTTGAGCAGAAAGTTTTGTTTAAATAGCTAAAACTCAATTTAAAAACAAAACAAAACAAATAAAACCCCCAGCACTTAAAATAACTGGGGAGGGTGGTGGGAGAAGAGGGAACTTTCTAAACCAGAATTTGGTCTCACACGCTCATCAAGAAGAAACTAAGCTTTCCAGTCTCGCCACACATCAGATAGAAGACTTTCATTCCAAAAGCCAGAAGGTGGGATTTTACATTTGTAAGCATTTTACTGCTCTGAAACCGTTTGCTGTACATTGTTTTCTGTTTTCATAGTAGACTTCTGTTTAGTTCTAGTCATAAAAAAAAAATATCAACTTAGTAACATCTCATTACTGCAACCACCTATCCATATTAGGGAGATCATTTAGATAAAGAAGGAAACAGAGCTACAATAAAGATAGCAAGAGACTTGTCCTGGACATCCAAGTACATACACTGCAATTTTAATTGCGTTTTCAGCTTCGTGAAACCTCGTGAGACTTCTTAGTTACAAGAATTACATCCACAGCTCCTTTTACAAGAAAAAAGGAGGGGGGACAACCTTATATTTCATATAATTTATGTCTAATGCATCTATTCTGTCCTTCATTTTTTCATAAACATTCCACTCTGCTGATGTTGACATTTGTTTATCTTTGTGTTATTACAGAACTACACCTAATTTCACTTTAAAACCCCCAATGAGAAAGACATCTGCAATCCATTAACCCAGAGAATTAAATTTAGCACTTGAACAGTGTGTAGAAGCAGGAGGTTTCCCTTAACCAGAAGTTTAGATTCTTTAATTCTCCAGTGAGATCGAAAACTTGAGCACGCAATTCACTCATATAAATCAAAAAATGATTGGCAAATTCGCTTTAAAAAGGTACTGATATTGGATATAGTTGTTGATTTTTAACCCTTAAAAGGGCCTAGAAGCTTTTCAGAGGCAACTGCGTGAATATAGGTAGTAAGTTACTTCCTGAAGAAACAGAATGCCAATGCAACAACAAAAGCCCCAAAGGTCTGGAATACAAAACAAAAAGCTAAAGTCTTCCACTAGAGACTAAGCTCAGCAGATCCAGAGTTGCCTATATCCAACACAAATCTCATTAGTACTGCAACATGAAGTTTTTCAAGGCAAACACTGAAATGTTTCAGAGATGCTTTTCAAAAGCATTAACAACATAACCAACAAATTCTCTGTCTCTCTCCCCCCACATCTATCTGTCTACGTAAATATTTAAAAACTGTACGAACTCTTACCTGAATACTCTTCCATAGTTGCCGTGGACTTTATAGACACCATACAGCCGGTCCGCCACCCTCTAAAATATTTTAGAGTCAGGTTTTGATCATCACATTAACTGTAATTGCTTTGTGAAAACACAAACTTCAAGCCAAAGCCCTGATGTTTTTACGCAGGGAAACGAGATTAGGCCTAAATCTAATCTAAGCCACTACTGAAGGAAATCCAACAGCATTAAGTCTTTGAAGACTGCAGTCACGATCAAGGCTACACTGAAAAGTAACATTTCAAGTGTTTCTTTGGAAGTGCTCATATATAGGATATGCCTATGGAGACCACAAATAATGAAGTCGCCTGCAGTTTTTGATAGCTGGCTGTAAGGCACAGCCTCCTTTACCCAAATAATACCAAGCTTATACATACGCCTGCTTGTTTAACACAAAGATGGCAAGACAAAAATCCATCCTGCCACCAAGACTGTAGGGAAAGCTCCAGTAAAATTCTACCAAGTGACTTGATTTTTCCATCCAGCTCAGTGAAATTAAGGAAAGACAATGAGCTATCCATTGCACTTACTGCTCGAGCTAGACATGTCATTTCAGCTGTTTGGAGAGTCAGTACCTGCTGCAGCCAGCACTACAATGCTGGCAACAACCTCAGCAGAAAAGACCACATGTACACTCCAAAGTGTGACTTGTAAGCCAGATAATGTCCTAGTAATTGTGATGTACCAGTGAATGACATTGAAGTTTGGTAAAAGTTACCATTATTGGTCTGTCAAAGGAGTAAAAAGGAAATGTAAGCAAATTGCCCAACAGATCTCACACACACACGGCCCTGAGAAAAAGGCAGTCCATAAAACACCAGTGATTAATCTTCAAGAACCTCAGCTCAACAGGGCAATCCATTACCTTCCTCTCTGCCGCATAGTTTCCATCAAAAATTAAATCCCTGTTGAACTCACTAGAAAGCAGTATCATGCTCCTTATTATTGGAATTGTAATTTCCCATTTCCTTTTTGTGACTTTAAAAAAACCAAAACCTTTCATTCTCAACCCATACAGTATCTTGATGCATGACATAATTGTTCTCATCATTAGAAAGAACTTTATTCATTACAGATTGAAGAACAAGCCAAAAGAAGTGTGCTGGGAAGCATACACGATTCATACTACAAGCTCTGGAAAACAAAGTATTATATGTCTGACCAGAAAACTGTGTTTTGGGGCCCTTCTCAGCCCAGACAACCAGCAAAAGCAACTTGTCTGCTGAGCAGAGAGAAGCAGACATCTCAATCCTCTTTAAAACACCTCCCTCCAATACGTGACCATCAGGGGAGAGGGCAGATTAGCAACATGCGTTTGCTCCTCCCATGACTGTCAAACTCAACCACCTCATTTGCAACTCTTGCCCCTGGCAAATCTGTACTAAGTCAGCGCCCCCCACCCCTTGCCATCTCCTGCCCCACGCTCCAGAGCCAGACTCTCTCAGGCAAAACTGCCCTTGTTCTAGAGCACATGTACCCGTTCTCCTGACTCCGTAAGAAATACTGCCTTAGAAATAAATTATACTATTTGTCACGACACACATGGGAAATACTTACAGCTCTGACTCGCAGAAGGTGTGATATGACAGACTGCAGTTCATCGCTATAGTGTTTTAGCTCAGTAAACCTCCTGGGAGCAGGAAACAGATAGTACATCATTAGCCATCATGAAAGCAAACTTTCACAGAATGCAAGATAGAGACACAACGCTACAGCCAGCGAGACGGAGCCTGGATTATGTTGAGGTGGAATTAGCTGAAGACTCCTAAAGAAGTGACTGCAGAGTTTAATTTCCCTAAAGCAAACAACCCAACACTTGCATAACTGCTATTTTTTTTTTTACATAAAGCTTCAGACCAATTTAACAGATAAATTTTTATAAAATATAAGTAAGTAACTGAAATTACTACATCGTTGTGTTGGGTTTTTTTAAAAATGGGATTTATAAAAGCAAGCATGAGTGAACAGGAAAGCTTCAAACAAGTACAAAGCCAAAATCTGCTCAAGTATACATACTTCTTAATAAAAGTTTCTGACCTGACAAAGATGTTTTACTTTCAAGCTGCCATCTAGCCAGTTTTAAGTACCACCTTTCAGAAGCTCAAGGAAGCATTCACAATTATCACAATTCCTCTAAGGCTCAGCCATACAGTAACTGCTACTAGTTCTATATGAAACCCTACAGAGACCTGTACCTGCACAGGAGTTGCACACAGCTAAAAGCCATCAAGTCACTACAGCTTAGCAAGGTACCACTTAGGGAATCCACCACAAGTGACCATGTGCATGCTGCTGGCCTGCCACTACTGAGGAGGCATTTTACCTGCCACCTCAGTCAAGCCTTGGTGGTAGCTTAAGCTGATACATTCAGCTTATCCTAATCACAAAGCAGAGGCACTGCCACAGCTTTGTTAGTGACAGGTAACCAGTTAAGCCAGAGCAACAGCCACTTCCGTACAGGTAAACCCTCCCTACCACACAAAAGTCTAACTCATGACTGACTGTGGTATGCAGGAATGTATTTCATCCAGATAGGAAGCCAGAAACAGCTTTACCTAAATTACTAAACTATGATCTGAAAATAAATAACATGGAAGAGCACAACTAGAATTAAGGAATGGGAGACTAAGATTAGCCTTCCACGTTGATGTTCAAGCGTAAAAAAATACTTCATCCCTCATCCCACCACAGGCGCACAGTCAGGCTTTGTATTTCAGAATAGTCTGTACCCAAGAGGTCTTACTGAAATGAGTCAGATCACTTGTTTTGGGTGACCAAGTATGAAATTCCAGGGGTTTTTATTTAAGACCTCTTCTTCCCCTGCCAGGAAGTCTTCCCCTAAAATACTCTCCTCCTTACATTCAGGAAGTAGAAGCTTTATTACCATTTCTAATATTTTTGATCTCCAAGGAGCATCTTATCAGATTATGACACACACAGGGTTAAAGTACATAAAAAGATTTAAAAGCCAGCAGAGAAACTGTATGGGAAAAATAAATATAGTCATTGATCTGCACAGTGGGGTTTAGAGAGCAATCTTTTCAGTTTACACTTTATAAAATATGCACCAGGGCCGCACGTCGGACAGCTGCAGACATGTACAGTGAAAATATTTGAAATAATTGAACTAAAAACAAAAGATTAAAAAGCATGCCTTCAGCTCAGGAAGACTCCCCTTTCTACTCCAGAAATTTATAATGAAAAGTTTTAGTTATCCTGCTTTGTGGCAAGGAAGCCTTTAGGAATGCCATACTCCCTTATAATAAATAAAATAACAAAAAAAAACCCACTACTTCAGAACTAAACTGTCTTTTTATTGTCACAGAAAAGCATAAACAAAAGTGGTGTTACTTTTTACCCAATCTTCTGTGAAGGTTGAAAATTTTACAAATATAATTTTTCAAGAAAAACTGTTTTTAAGGGACTGGCTGTGTTGCAGATCAAAGGTTTATTTCTCAAGTATTTGCTTAAGTCCTACTCACTGCTGATGTAAAAAAAAATTACATAATTAAAGTACTTTCCAAACGGAGTTTGGCGAGGCACACAAAGGGATGTTTACTTTCCAGTGCATCAAAAACAGCAGAAGCGTGAAACAACACAGTTTTTGGCACTCTGAGGCTTGCACCTTTCACTTTGTTTTACTGGTTCTGCAATATCACCAACAGCCTAGATATTTAATTGAGCTATTAAGCAGAACTTCAGACACAACTGAAGAACAGATCAGGTCATGTTTCCGTAGGATCACCACCAGGTTACTTCCCAAAAATATCTTTCATGGTAATCACAAAGAAGAAAATGTAATTTACAGCAGACAGCACTTCAGATAAGCTGTGCATTTGACTCTGCAGTACTCCTTCCCACATCAGGGAGGGCAGTACCATTTTCCTCTTTTGTGAAGGAAGATTTTACAAGAACAGAACTGTTCACTAAAGAACGAGCCACTTTCTGCCTTAGAAAAGGATTTAGTGTTTTCTAAAGAAACCTTTCACCAAGAAGAACACTACTGTTTTGATTAAAAGCATAAAAAGCAAACAAGAGGATGGGCACCACAAGGCCAAACTAGAGGTCTGCAGTAGTTACAATTTACCTCCGAGTACCAGAATACCACATTTTTATCACCATATAATTCCATCATTGAAGATACTAATTGCTTCCCACAGCAAAAGGTTTAGTTTCCCGTCTACATTTGAACTCGTACAGCAGCACCATTCCAGCTCTGTAAAGCTCCTCACAGCGCTTTCAGCTGCACAGTGCAGCTCCACAGGACCACGAGACAATCCAGACTGGGAGTTGCAGCTACTCTTCACCTGGTCAGGAACCTGACAGCCTACACTGCACACAGCAGTCAGAGCTCTCGTTTCGGCAAGGTGAGCCTGCTGAGCCCGCTTCACCACTCAGCCACGCAAGCACCAAAGGTAACACAGAGGTAATCAGCTTCCAGGCAGCTCAAGCTAAGTGTGGCAAGCAGAGCAAGGCACTATTCCTCTTGTTAGGGTCATACATGCTATGCTAAAAGGGTCTCCCTGAATTAAAAAACAATAAATAAATACAAGTTATGCTCATTGGTTACTTATTAAACAACTTGTATCCAGAAGTGCAATTTGGAAGCTATGTAGCCGCAGAACCCAAGAGAAAGCATGTGCTGTACCTCCCAACTGCTGCGAAGTCTCTATGGAGAAAGAGATACTCAGGGACTGTTGTTATTGCAAGCCCTTCCTCAGGTTTTCCTTGTATTAGTATTAACTCTTTTCCTGCTTTTTACCAAGCCACTTCTCACAACAGCTTTGCTTTACGAAACACTGAGTTACCCCGAAAGATAACCGTATATTCCTTATCTCAGCCTCAACCAGCCTTGCCCACCTATGCTGACTACAGGCAAAGTTTCCCTGCCATGAAAGCAGGAAAAGCTAACTCCTGCTAGCCACAGATGAAGAGGATGGAGGACAAAGCATCCAAACAAGCGGCCAGTTTCACCTGTAGCTACTGAAGAGAACCGCTGTCTTTTGATCTCATTTGTGAATGCTATCTTTTGTATTAAGCCCTAGCTAAAAGCTCCCTTGCTGTCACAGAAGGCTGCAAACGCAAACACAAATTACAAAAAAAAAAAAAAGAGGGAGTGCATCGACTCACAGCTAAGTCTATGAAGAGGTTTAGAAAGGTACGTGCCCTCCAACGTCCTCAATACAACACCCAGAGATGCTAGGGAAGTACAAAGGGAACAGGTAACAGAGCAGTCACATGGACTCTCCCTGAATTGCACCTCCTAATGCCACTATTGGACTGCAGATGAACACAGAACGCACTTTGTACGGGCCTCCACTGCTTACTGATGGCAAACAGCAACACTTCTTGGCCCTGTTGCTGCACACTCATGTTTCTAACTATTGCAGATGTAGAATCTCTCATTTTGCCCTCCTCGCATCACCTAGGGGGTGACGAACCTCCCTGCTACGCACCCTCACACTTCTGACCAGTTTTTCGATCCAGCAGATTGCTCTAGTGCCTGTCCCAGAGCTTCCTAAACTGCAACAGAGCTGAACTGACCTCCAGACTTCCAAAAGCATCTGTGAAAATTGGCAGCTTGAAGAGAACTATGAACTGCAACACCAGAGTGCATGCATCCAGAGTTGTACACTAGCAGATTTTTGGAAAGACCCTACTATCGATCTGTATTCTGTTCGTGCTTAGAAAGATTTCTCTGCTAACAAATATTAAGAGATTCTTTTTCTGGGTCTGCTTGTTTGGGGTTTTTGTCCCTTCCTTTTAATCTAGCTAAAATGACTCATTTTGCATAAAGTGATGGCATTTTTCTGAACATTTCCTGCTCCTAGAAACATGATTTATCAAACCTTTTCACACTGCCTCCTTACTGGGCTTCTGTTAAGATCTGAAGTGCAGAAAGATAATTTATTCTAAGGAGACAGAATACTCTGTCATCTGAAGCTACAGACTGAAGTTGAAGCTACAGATTTGTAATTGAAAAAGGGAAAGGGAGGGAAGAAGGATGTGGAATCTTACTTGTCTGGGTTTTTCACTCTGAATGTTGCATTAAGAGCTTTTAATCTGGAATCTGCCTGAAAAAAGGGGAAAAGAAGCTTTGTTAATTTAATGCAATTAAATTCCAGTGACAAAAAAAAAAAAATCTCAGCCTTCTGGCAGTACCATTAGTAAAAAAAAAAAATCCTACCTTCCTGGCATATTTAAATCTCCAAACATTGAACAAGTTGACACTAGCTGCCCTGCATGTTAGATTTTTTTTTTTTTTAAATAAAAAGTAAAAAAACTAAGCTATTTTTTGTGAACTAGGATGTAAACGGTATCCACTAAAATCAAGCTGGTATAATCCAAATCCCACAAAAATAGTCCCTTCTTCGAATATTACACAAATCACGGAGTTAAGATACACAGCCCTACATTCTTTTTAGATGAAGCAATTAGGTAACATAAGACCATATGGACAAACTATTTTATATTTTTCAAACCATATAAAACTGGTAGTAGAGTGACCTCTATATGCTCTTTATTACTAGGAACAGTTCCCTAGTGAAATCAAAACCTTATATATGGTGTTCTCTTATTTTATGACTTGCTTTACAGAAAATATGTAATTTGTATATCAGAATAGAGCTATTTTTAATACAATGTTCTTTTCTATATCATAGCATATATAAATCTCTACAGGAGAAAGTTCAATACCTAATTAAAAAGGTAATTGGCTACTTAACTTTGAGATGTTGGTTCACCAACGACTGCAACAGCAGAATGGAATCTAAGGAGTTTGCTGGGCGTTTTTTAGTTTAATTCAACATTAAACTGTGCAACAGGTATTTACTCTTAATAAGACACCAAGAGAGATTACATATCCCAGCCTCAAACAGAGAGGTCCAACATCACCACAACTTTTCATTTCTATGTGGCATTTTACATACAGCTCATCTATGCTGCGTGAAAACTCCAACTCTGGGAGAACGCCTGGGGTTTACTTTTGACCAAGACACACCTCTCTCCAGTGAAAGAATAAGGGAACACATCTTGATGGCAATCTTGCTAACTTTAGCTGTCCTTCTTCCGGTCACCAAACTGCCAATACAGATGAACAAAACCTGCAAGACTAAGACTGACCGATATTGGAAGAAAACAAGTTCATTGTAACCACTATGTGTGGCGCTCCTCTAAGAATATCTTGCAAAGTGAAGACAAAGGCAGCATGGGGAAGCACGTCCAAGATAGCATAAGGAATAAAACCCACCGCAGTAACTCCAACTCCCAGCATGGGCTGGTACAGCCTTGGACCTCCACTGCTTTACCCCCATGAGCCATTACACAAGGCAGTCAGATTTCAGGTCATCCCAACACACCTAGTGTACTCCTCACACGTTCTCTAACAGTACAAACACCACCTAGATACACCGATGTTAAGTCAGAGTCCTTCCCTCTAAGTACCCATTTCACAAAATACTGTATTCCCGTTCAAACAGCAGGCACCAAAGCCATTCGAGTTTCCTGGGACAGCAGGCACATCCCACAGGTTTACACGTGAACAGGATCACTTACTGCATCAGAGTTACGGGGCAAGTTTTTGCCTTTCGTCACAGACACATGCAGTGCTCTGAAGGAAGAGTTCAGTAAGTACACAAGCACTGTCAGGCAGGAACCAAGATCCTGCCAGTGCTCAGCCTGGTTATCTCCTCCTTGCTGTTAACAGCAGAGTAACTCCCACACAGCACTTCCGAGCATTTGCACCACACAGAGTTGCACTGTCAGAAAAACGTCTATCCAGTCTTAAACTTGATTTAAGACTAATGCACACAAGTGTTTGAGAGATGAACTCCCCATCAAATGCGGTACAGTCGAGGAGTTTTCAGACAGTTAATTCCTACTATGATCCTATAACCATTTCAACTAAAGACAGAGGGGAATTTTCTGCTTTCTAAAGGAAGGGTCAAAATCCCAAGTGACAAATCCCTTAAAGAATAAAATCAAGTGCTGGGGGTAGGAGAGAGGAAAGGCACAATTTAACGATAGGGTTGGCAGAATAAACAAAGTCTCCAACATCAACATTCAACTCTAACATGCTACACTGCATTAATGCCTAATTTAAAGTTTAGTTAGCCTGGTTCAAAGCCTTTGGGACAAGAGACACATCCTGCTTAAATGCATCAGCAGCAGAGGAGCAGCAGTACGTAAACCAGTGGTCTCATTCTAGTCTAAGACATGTAGTAAACAGAGGTTTGTCCTCTAGTGTAGTGCTAAATAACTCCAATCTTGAGGAGTTTATGCTTCAGATGTTGAATAAATGAAAGATGCTTCTTCCCAGGCTTTTGCAAAAAGTTTTTCTTCTTCCTTAAGGAAGCAGGAACTGTAGAAGGGAAACTATACACACAAGCAAACCTAGAAGGAAAACAGGACTTGCTTATCTCTCATTTAATCTACAGTATGGTTTCAGCTAGGCAGATGTTCTCAGCATTCTGCTGAGTTCTCATTCACACACATGCCACTGTGTACACTCCTGAACACACCCTGCCAGTACAAACTTCCTGAACTCCTATGAGTGTAAACTGAAATAAAGATGTGTTGACTAGGAAAACACAGCTTGACAGCTTTACATGTTTCGCATCATGAATATTAGCAACATGTAAGCCCTACTGTGATGGAAGAGAATTAGTGCCAACTTAAGTTATCACCATTAAGTGCCAGTATCAAAGCCCCTTGGACATTGAGGACAAGAGCACCAGTGATTTTTTTTTAGCTCTCACTATTCAGAATAATTCTTCAAAATCCACCTAGTTTGCAGTTGCGATTTCATGAGAGTTGATCACATTACAATGAAACAAAAGCTCAGTATTTGTCTCCATAGAGTAACTTTTTCAGGCACAGCCCAGCAATCTATCAGCTTCTCACAGATTCTTGTCCTGTACACACACGTGATCTTTGATCACTCATCCCTGCAATTCTACCAGTCTAACCCAGCCACAAACTCAGTGATATCAACAGGGACAGTACTACAAGACACCTTCTGTTAAACAGTTAAGAGGCACCAAATCCATCTGTCATAGCCCCTTTCAGCAACTTATCCTTGTAAATAAATCCTACAGTTTAGACCCCTTGGCTTGCCTTTTTTTTTTTGACACTTTGCACCTCTTACCAGGCTAAATCTGACACCCATCTTTAAAACACTGCTAAACTAAACTGACAACATACAAAAGCACTGCTATAGCCCCAAGTTCATTAGTTTTAAAGCTTATAAGGATCATAATTCTACATTACTAGCAGAATTACAAGGTTGAGCATCAAACATAGGCACGTACTAACAAGCCTGCTAGAGAACTTAACAGCTGAAGTCTTACCTGTTACATGCTAAGAACACCACTGTTTTTTGTAGTGATGAGTATATATAAAGCAATGCTTTTAACACATTCCAACAGCAAACAGCCTTTCACAAATAGCCTAAAATATGTTTGCTGGAGTATTTCTGTGTCACAGCAGTCATGAGACAAACAATTGTAGTAATTACCTTTAACTGAAATCCAGTCTCATTCACCATTTCTTTCCACCCACCCTCCTAAAAATACAGGAAAAGAACATTCAGTTAGAGTGATTTAAGACTGCCACAGCTTTTCCAAATCCCTATATCAGAAGAGCTTCTCCAGTAAGCCTGGGTTCTGCCTCGGCTACCCTCCCCATGTCTTTTCAAGAACCTGGGTTAAGAATAACATGTCATTATGTTGTGCTTACATACCAACCTCCCCCAAAACACTCTCTCCTCTTCACTACTCAATTACCTCATGCTATCAACTGGGGTCAGGACCCGCACAGCTTTGTCTAAAGCAGCAGCTCAGCTCTTTAGAAAGACGGGTAGTTATCATCTATTGCCTATTAGATTATCAGCAGCTCCAAAGACCTTTTCAGCTTGAGGCAGAGAACATACAGGTGACAACTGTTTACAGTGCACATGCCGTCACCTCGCTCACGTGTAGCGGTTGGTTGTCCACTGTTTTCAGTTCCCACACACCGGTTCATCTACATACTATACTGTGCTGTGGTAAACATCTGCTCAGTCCATTGTTTTGGAATCTCTCATCAAAACATGGAACAAGAAACATCCAACATCTCCTAAAGTTGAGAGCTGCAGAATGCAATGCTTTAGCTGACAAGTGGATCACACCTTTTGTGGTAACATACTGTGCTGGTTTTGGACCACAACATGTATGAATGGCTCATGATTCAAACCACAAAGCAAAAGAAACCACAGATATCCAAAACATGAATTGGAAGCCAGTACTGTCTCTTCCTAGAGAAGCTTTCCCAACCAATACACGTTAACTTCCCAATATGCTGTTCCAGAGAGGTGGAAATTCTCTCTTAGGAGCCTTAAAACTAGACTGGAAAAAAGTCATAAGGTACATTAGAAGGCCAGTTGTACAGCTGCAGTGGCCTGTTAAGAAGCTTTTAGATAGACAAACCTTTTCCACCTTAAGTTTATTCACTGTCTACCCTCCTAGACACAGAACGAGCTATGGGTCAATGGGAGGCAAGAAGAGCACAAGGACATTGTCTTAAATAAATAATCATTAAAGAATTTATTTAGAAAGCACATCACTTTACCTGTGTTAAAAATGAATAAAAGATTTTGTCTTGGCAAAGAACAGGATGTGAAGCCACACGTAACAAGAAGTTTTCCAAACCGATTCTTCTTCTTTCCACAAAATCTGGATCCATATTATCTGCTGATAGCTTATGCCAAACAAAGTCAGCCTATTTAAACAGAAGAGTGTTAACAGTAAATAAACAACAAACGATACAAAGCAAGCTGCAGCCTCAGCTTCCTTACCCTTTTTTCTGGCAAAGGTGGAACAACAATATGTGGATAGGTAACTGACAAGTAATTCCTCAACAACTCAAATTCACTGTAACGTCGCCATAGGGAGTCCACCGGGGCACACTGTCCCTCACTCTGGGACTGAACAGCTCTGAAAGATACAACACCACATTTCAGCATTAATAACCTATCACCTGCTTGCTCATACCACGAATACAATTATAGCAAAGGGCCTAAAAAAAAATTACCCAGTAATGATTACTGCATAACTTGCCCATAATCTAAAGTAACCTCAATTAATTGTTCCTTCTACGTACTTAATTTAAAAATATTTATAACTTCTGCCTGATAGCACTCAAATTTTTTAGGAATGCAGGAAAAGTCAACACATTTTCATCACACCACAAACAGGCCACAGTCAAGTAAATAGTCACACAGGTGACTTAGTTCACATCACTACAGAATTAGACATATTTCTCTTGGAACAGTCTTAGATTCCAAGCCAGTACGATTTCATCACCAGCCGAAGGATACAGAGTATTACAAGAAGGAATTTACTATTCAATGGGAAAGTCTTCACTTCAGAGGGTAAAAACTGTCTTGCCTGCAACAACTAGACTAGTTAAAAACATAACTTCAAAAAATTAAGAAATTTTAAAGGCTATTTTCAGAAAAACATAGCAAGTTTCCAAGCACTTCCAAATTTTTTTGCTGAAAGAGCTATCTTTTTATATTTAAGGACTAAGAACACGTATTCTAACAAACCAGCTAGAGACGGGATAAGCAGGTACAAAATTGATGCATCTAAAAAATGTGTTGAAAATTTAAAGGCAACACCACCTAGCAAGCTACTCAAGAAGTTTATGTTACTATAAAAGGAGAAATCATGGAATATTATAGGATTGAAAAGGAAGATAAAAACTTAAAAAAAAAAATCATTCTTCATACGAGACATTTAAAGCAACAGAAACACTTTGCAGTATCATAAAATAAGCATCAGGTCAGTAACACTTCTTGGCAGTTAGCGTACACGGGAATAAACATAGAGAGAGAATTCAGACAAGGCACTTAACAGAAACCAGTGATGTCTATGTCTGCCTTAGTTCTTCTTTTAAGTGACCAACCAGCACACAAAGCCCTGGCATAAACCCACACAAAACAGTATTAACTACCTTCCAACCTCAGCTAATCTGTAGTAGTCTTGTAAGGGACCTCTGCACATCAGTAGTCCAACTCCCTTGTTCAAAGCAGGTTGCTCAGAGCCACGTCCAGGTGAATGTTGAGTATCTCCAAGGACAGAGACTCTACCACCACACTGGGCAACCAATTCTCATGTCTGGCCACCCTCAGAGTAAAGACATTTTCTTAAGTTTAAAGAGAATTTCCTGTATTTGAATTTGTGGCTGCTGCCTCTCGTCCTCTCTCTGTGCATCACAGAAAAAGTCCGAGTCCATCCTCTTTACCTCCCCCACCAAATATCGATACACATTGCTAAGATCCCTGAGCCGTCTCTTTCAGCGGCTGAGCAACTCCATCTCTCTGCTTCTCCCTGCACATCAGATGCTCCAAGCCCATAATCATCTTCATGGCCCTTCACTGGACTTCCTTCAGTATGTCCACATCCTTCTTGTACTGGGGAGCCCAGAGCTGGGCACAGTAAGCTATGAACTACAAGTACTTGCTCACATGATACTCAGTAGAATAGTTTACATTATTTCTTCCAGCAGAACTTAGGCTACGCAGTTCTTGAATTCAGAAGAACTTTTTGGAGTAAAGTTTTAAAAACATCTAAATAGCACACAAATTGATTTTTTTTTTAAGCTATTCTTAACTTAGAAGGCCGGATTTCTAATGACCTTACTGAAAAACAAACAATCCTGCTCCAGAGTGGCCCCAATTATTTGATGCACTTAAACAAAACACAAGAAGCCTTTGTCATCTATTTCTGAACTCTAGTGAAAAACAAACAGCCTTGGCATATCCTCTTGTTTAAAAAAAAAAAATACCCCAAACAACAAAAAGCATGGTTACAGCCTGAGCTTAAAGTAACGTAGTACAGATTTATGCAAAAGGAAATTTTTTAAATGAGTAAGGCAGAATATTTTCTGTGTACCTACCCTTGCCTTGTGGAAAGGACATTTATTCCAGGAGACTGAATTTGTAGAAAAAAAAAAAAATCACAAGGAAGAAAAAGCATTCGCACAAACTGCTGCAGATAAAACTGTTTGAGGCTGACTTAAGAAAAAAAGGTGAACACACTGCTGCCAGCCACTAAATCGCACTGCCAACATCCCACAGAATCTTCCCCTATTACAAATAGCTCAATTCAATGAAGTTGCAACTGCAACCACAGAGTTTTGGAGAGGGTAAGCTCAGCCTAACACTGGGCTGACAGCCTGTGCAGCATTCCTCCCTACACAAATGTTGCACAACTTAAACATTTCAAGAACACTTTCCCTAAAAGCAGAGGTATCTAGTACTGTTGCTCAGTTGGAAGTAAATTTAAATAGGTAAATATTTAAGCTACTATGCCCTGGAAATAAGAAAGCTAAAGGCACAAACCTCACTTTCCAAGAGGAGAAACCCTGAGCGGGGTTTGGTAAACAATCTGGCCATTCAAGACACTCACACAGAAGTACTTCAGAATTAGGGGCCCTTTTAATCTCCAGCTTCAGCAGCTATCAACCAGTTGCACTGATTTACACCGTGAGTTTCAAAAGCACTACTTCTGCATGGGTTATCACCAACCCTTAAGCAAGGCTGCCACCATCAATACATCATGGGATTATGTGGACCCTGTCTGAGAACTTACTGCACAAAAGCACAAACAGGGAGATGAGAAAAACACAATCAGGACTGCTCTGAAAAAAACACACACAGCCCAGTAGGACCCATCTGTGCTGCAGATATAGATGCTGCTGCACCAGCAGGAAGGCACCGGAGCCTCACCTAGAGCTACGCAGACACACTGCACAGCATGAAGCAGACTGTGGCCACCCTTACTCTAAAGGCAGGAAGACTACAGATCCAGATCTCTGATCTGGAACAAGGAGTTCTCTGTAACATAACGGACGTTCTACCAGACAAGAAAGAGAGGAAGAAAAAAACTGCAGGATGCATTTGGTCCACTGCTATTAGATGTCCCTGTCACTGCCATGCATAACCATTTCCTGGCCACAGCAAATGCAACCCTGGGACTGGTACAGGAGTTCTGTTTAATCAGCTCTTCCTTCCAATTTTGATTTTTCTGTAATAGGACTTTCATTATTCATCTTTTTTTAAAATTTAACTGAAGTTTAAGACTGACTGCATCACCTCATAACTAGAGGCGGGCTAGGTGTGCACACGCTACTGACAGTTTATGGCAGCCTAACGCGTTTCAGACACACAGTAGAGTTACAGAGGCTGGAGAAGTTACCACCAAAGGTAAACTGCAAGGAGAACAGTTCACTTTATTTTAAAAATATCATTCTTATTTTTCTTGTCAATATGAGCCCCTAAGGAAAAGTACTGCTAGCCGCAATTATTTTTCATCTCCACTTAACTTATTCTATGGGCTTACACTGCCGTGGGCGACTTCAAATATAAAGTTTTCCACCTCCTGAATACGAAGTATTTAGAAAAGTTCATTTGGTTGTTTCATCTCAACACAGCGTGTACTTAAGTGTTGTCTTCTGCTTCTAACCCAACCAACTCCCAATGCAGTGCAAGTCTGATCTTACTTTTATCACTTTCTGAATAACCTATAAGATCAATGAGGTCAGCACAAAGAAGAATGAAAAAGAGTTTATCTTTCAAGGAAGTTTCTGTTCCAAACATTCCTACTCCTTTTTCAAGCGCACTTCTGTAGGAATACAACTTTACAAGATGTTAGAAAAGAACCATCCCAAATTTCAGTATGCATCTGTAAGCAGTCTCATACCAAATACTACTAATGTACTTTATGGTAATTGCAATTACAGTAATATGCATGGTAGCTGATCTTCCATAGCTGATCTGCCTTAACTCATCCTGCTATGGTTTACCATTCCTCCACTCATTTTTTGCCAAATCAGCTTTTTCGCGTAAAAGTTGATCTGTATTTTTCTTAGAATTCGCAATTGCTGCTGTCAAGTCACATTATCATAAGTGATTTAAGTTTCAATAGTTTTAACACCACAAGTGTGCAAGAACCGAAGCATACTGTTCTGCTACAAATTAACAAGAGAAAGAGAAACAAAATTAAGAAGAATGTCTTTATAAATTTAAAAGCAACTTCACAGATCAAAGTCTGTTTGGGCAACTACATATACTCTACTTCCATACTACGGATTACAGGTTAGAAGAGAATGCACTTACACTTCACATTCCTATCTTACAAGTACTGAAGAAAGGCAAATACACCAACAGAATCATCACATATTTTAATAGTGTAGCAGTCCATTTATCACTTGCAAGGGTTCAGGTCAACACACCATCAGTAAGCTGTCGTTGTAAGAGATCACAGCCTTCTGCCAAGAGAATGTTCCAGTGTGAATTATGCTCCTAATGCTTCACGACTGTTTTGCAGAGTTAATTATAAACTAGAAACAGCAAAGACCATGCAGAGCCTTTACTGTGCAGAAAATTTCTCAACTTGCCTGCTATATCAGCTTTGTATTTGTCAGAATTAACAAGTACACATCAGTTATTTAAAAAAAAAAACAACAACAACAACAACAAACAGTAATCCGAGGCAAAATATCTCAGTCCACACACACAAATATCAAGCAGAAAACTAAACAGGAACTAAAATTTTTAAAAGGTCTAGGAGTGCAGCACTTCAGCAGGGAAGGACCAACAGCTTTACAGAGGAGCCTCGTCCTACCTCAGAACCAGACACTAGTACCCCACAACACAGATGCAGGCACCCTGTTACTTGCAGTTTTACATCCACAAGGGGCCTCAAGAGCCCAAGGAGGAAGGAAGCAGACTGCCAGAGCAGATCATGTCACTCACCACATCTTCCCTGCCCACAATGAAGAAACTAAGGAACTTTACTAGATCTACAGCCTACCATCAACTTATCCTGACAAAGCAGATCTGTGGACAACAGGCTAGGCTTCCCTAAGTCCAAGCTAACCAAGCTTTACAACCCTTACGAGGGACACAGAAGCCTCACATTATACCTTG